CGACGATGACGACGACGGCGACGACGACGACGACGACGGCGGCGACGACGGCGAATCGCGAGTAACGCAACGTGCAAACCGCCGGTCGTGTAAGCGAAATATTTACACGCTCATGTAATCAGGCTCTTACGCGCGCAAATGGCTGCGCCCTGCCCTCTCCTGCAACTCCGCAAGGTAAGAAGCGCCGTTTCGTAACGCGGGCACGAGCGTTTCAAAGTCAGCGAGTGAGCTCGGTCTTTTGTGAGTACGTCGTGAGAGCTGTTCGTTACGAGAGCCCGCGGAGGTATCGAAGGAAATCAGAACACCGTGCGTGATACCCGGCTCGATTTACGTAAAATCGGCCGAAAAGGCAAAAATGTTATGGAGGATAAGACGGGGAGAAACTTCGCGCAATGAGACCAGACGCGTACAATCTGGGGATCGCGACACGGGCGTCATTGGCAACACACCGATAATCCTCGACGGAAGTGTAGCGATCGTCGGCCCACGAGCCGCGCGTTCATTCCGCCGTTCCCGCGTTCGAAATATCGGCGACATGTAATTCTTATCTCCTGCCCTCTCCCTCCCTCCCGCCGCCCCTTCCTCTCGTAATCCACCTTACGTAATGATGGTAATGTAACCAAATGTATGTAACGCTTGCATAAGATAGCCCCCTACCCTACCTACGCGTCAAGCGACGGTGCGGAGCCGCGGCATAATCTATTGTTTGGCAATAGTTATGGTCCGTTGTGTAACGGACTAGTTAACGGAGGCGATCGATAAGTAACGCGGCATTGCGTCGTACAATGAAACCGACACTGCAGGGGAAGGCATCGGGAACTGACAGGGGGCGAGGGAGAGGAGGGAAGCGAAGGGGGGAAGCAAATTAAGAAAGCGGCTCGCCGATTCGCCTTCAGGCGCCTTCAGGCGCCGATGCTCGTGTCTGCTTCCCGTGGAAGCGTGATCCTTCGCGATATTCCTTCGAGGAAAGGCACTAATGAAATTTGGACGATCGATGGCGCGCACGTTCCTCTCGCGCGATTTTCCGACGTGCGTTTCGCGCCGCTAACATGCCCCGCGATGATGCCTCCCTCTTTGTTCGGCTTCAGTTTCAGCGAAAACACGGAGCGATGATCTCGCAAGAGACTCTAATGGCTCACGTAGAGAGCCGATCGTTAGAGGATCGTGTCCGCGCACCGTGACTCGTCGATCCTCATTTTTCCGCGGGATCGCACGACAGTTTACCGCGATATAATCAATTTGCCGGCGATACGTAACGAAAATTTAATGAGCTTGATTACTCGAATAAGAATCACGTAACGCTCTCGCGAGGAACGCGGGGGACGGAGGCACGAAATGTGTTCGTAACCGTTGAAGCGACACACATACCGCGCTGCTATTTTGAAATCGTTTTCGCGAATAAATAGAGACGCATATACAATTTACACTGCCTTTCACCCTCAAAGTGGTGCGTCGGGTAATTATGCGGCGTTTACCATAAAATTGTAATTTCAAGAAGAAGAAGAGCATCATATCATGAAGAAGATATCCTCCTCATTAGTATATATATAAAAAAAAATTAGAATCATTAGTGCTTTCGGTGCACTTCCTCATTTTAAGCATTTCAGTTATACGAGAGAATCTCTCGTTAATTGTATATCATCAGTATATGAAATATTATATCAATAAATAAAATAATGTTGTGTGGATATCAGACAATGATAAATACATATCAAATATAATAAAAAATATATAGGTAAAATATATGGCAAAAATATATGGCAAAAATATATGGCAAAAATATATGGCAAAAATATATGGCAAAAATATATGGCAAAAATATATGGCAAAAATATATGGCAAAAATATATGGCAAAAATATATGGCAAAAATATATGGCAAAAATATATGGCAAAAATATATGGCAAAAATATATGGCAAAAATATATGGCAAAAATATATGGCAAAAATATATGGCAAAAATATATGGCAAAAATATATGGCAAAAATATATGGCAAAAATATATGGCAAAAATATATGGCAAAAATATATGGCAAAAATATATGGCAAAAATATATGGCAAAAATATATGGCAAAAATATATGGCAAAAATATATGGCAAAAATATATGGCAAAAATATATGGCAAAAATATATGGCAAAAATATATGGCAAAAATATATGGCAAAAATATATGGCAAAAATATATGGCAAAAATATATGGCAAAAATATATGGCAAAAATATATGGCAAAAATATATGGCAAAAATATATGGCAAAAATATATGGCAAAAATATATGGCAAAAATATATGGCAAAAATATATGGCAAAAATATATGGCAAAAATATATGGCAAAAATATATGGCAAAAATATATGGCAAAAATATATGGCAAAAATATATGGCAAAAATATATGGCAAAAATATATGGCAAAAATATATGGCAAAAATATATGGCAAAAATATATAGAAAAAATATTTCTACAATATCGTTATATAATACTGCAATAGTACATTCTGAAGCTTAAGATGGAATATTCGAAAATGCCGAAGTAGAATGCGGAAATATCAAAATCAAAATACCCCAAGTTATGTGCAATCAAAATTGTGATGTCGCGATGATATCACATAGATTTTATAGTGAATTTTTTGTCTCTAAGCTTCAGGTAATGTATCATTAAAATATCGTACTTTTCGCGTCGCGGATCAATGCGATTTATAAATATTCATGCACTAAGTATGACACTCTGCGAGTGATGAAACTTATCACTCACCATTTGAAGATTTTCCACGATGTCCAATCAGCCAGGTCCAGCCAGGTCCAGCCAGGTCCAACCAGGTCACCCTGACGCTCTGCATCAGGAAGTTTGCGACGTCCCACGTTGATTGCACTTATCACTCGCGACGCGATTAATATTCATGTTTCTCATCAATGTTCGACGAATCGGTAGCGTCGACGAAATATACATTGATTTATGTCGAGACGGATTCCGTTTATTCACGATAATCGAATTCGGAATTTGCGATTGACGAATGTCTATCGAGGTACAGTAAACTTCCGGCACTGCCGAAACATGTTCGTGGTGCGGCGAACAAATTTAAAAAATTACTTACGACTCGCGTGTGAAAATTTCTCGATTTCCGTTGCTGTAGAAATATACTCGCGAATCGCGTGAAAATTTCGCAAACCAAAACCGGTCGCGATATAAATCGACATTTCCCGATACTTTCGCGAAGACAGCTCCGCAATTCTTTTGCGAAGACTACACTCCGCAATCTTTTGCGAAAACTACTCCGTATTCTTTTGCGAAGACTACTCCGCATTCTTTTGCGAAGACTACTTTGCATTCTTTTGCGAAAACTATTCCGCAATTTTTTGCAAAAACTACTCCGCATTCTTTTGCGAAGACTACTCCGCATTCTTTTGCGAAGACTACTCCACAATTTTTTGCGAAAACTACTCCGCACTCTTTGGCGAAGACAACTCTGCACTCTTTTGCGAAGACACTCCGCAATTTTTTTGCGAAGACCGCTTTCAAAACATTTTCCCGAATTTAATTCAACGAAAAATACGCTCCTAAAAATGTAATCGCGACGCAAAAAACAAATAAAAAAACTAAAAATCGCGAGACAGTTTGGTAAAATTTATCACCGTACACAAGCGAGATAAAATTAAAGCAATTATTTCTTTCAAGAAGTTTCTATTCATTCGACGTAATCCGGACATGTAAACAAACGAGAACATTCCGCTTTATGTTTGACTATTTTTTCGTATAACTCGGTGTTATCATAACTTGCGTAAAATATTCTATGAACCTGTAAATAAAAGATCGCGGCAATTGTGAAAGTGGCGTTAATTACTTGTTGAGTCGGCGCAACTGTAAGATGGCTTCGACTGCTTATGAAATATATCTTGACAAATTTACTTAACAGATTCCTATTCGTTCGCAAGACGAATGAAAGAGAACTAATGATTCCGACTGTCGCGTAAGCTAACTCAACGCGTACGATGTAATTCCGAGCTCGGTGGCGCAATTCTGAGGTGCGCATTACACATTGCTCAAAATAATTAGGAAATCACACGTATTTTTGTCGAATAATATAGCTTAAGAGTTGATGTAAGACTTAATATAAATTTTACGTAAGACTTAATATACGAATGTATCAAAGTCTGTAAATAATAGAAATATTACAACTAACAGTAAGATTTGAAAAGGCACATAAGGAGCAAGCACAGATGTCTTAGTGCTATTAAATACTAATATTACTTTTTAATATTAATATGATTATGGGAGAATAAAATTGTATGTTAAACGCACGTATCGAAATTTTTCTTCGCTTATCGTACGTGGAGAATCAACCTTCCATACTTAGATCGATCCTTGAGTCTCAATTTTTATATATATATATATATTTT